GAATAATTTTGTAAAATTTATATTTTATAACGTTGTAAGCCGAATTTATTTTGAACAATTAATAAAAATCGTTTTGTTATTGTTGTATGTGAAATTGAAATTATGTGAAATTGAAATATTATGGAGTGAGGTGAAATTCTGATTGGCTAATTTGAATTTCATGTATGTAAATTTGAATTTCACATGTGAATTGCGAATTCACATAATTTCATTTTCACGTATAACATTATAAACCGAATTTTGATAAGCCGATCCTATTTTTGTGATTCCCAAAAGTTCGGCTTGACTGTACTTGCCACCAAAAATGCAAACTGAGAAACATCTATCAAAACCACAACCTTGCCATCGAATTTCTGCCCTTTTTAAAAAGAAATAAATGTATAAGGTCTACCTCAGTTCAGTAGTGTCTATTATTTGGTTATAATCCTAGCAGATAATCTTTACATCAAGTCTGCGTTTAATGTCAATCTGTTAATGTTTGTGCATTTTCCTGATGTAATAAAAAATCAGCCAAAGGAGAAAGCAAGAGGTATAATCAGTGTCGTTCTTTTCGGTTATAAGAAGTCGAAGCCTAATACTAATTGTTCTTCGGAAGATGTGCAAATTCTCATATCTGACAGAGCATCAGGATAATCAAATGTGTTTTTCTTTTTTTCAAGTTCAATTTGGAATTTATCAACTACAAAAGGGTTTAGTGTTCTTTTCTTTTATTATTAAATTGTTCTCATATTTATTTAGTAAAACATCAGGAAATTGCTTTTAAAATTCTAAATATTCCCTATGTATATATATATAATTATATAGTTATTACAAGTGTATCATTAATTATATATATTTTTTCATATCCACCGATTTTAGGGTATGAAATTTTGGGAGACAAATTTATGAAGGTCACATTTATAAAAAATTTCTAAGGGGTTACTAGAATTAGAAGTTAATTTTGCCCAACGCTCCATCCCCTATTTTTTTATTACTATTAATACTAATGCGTATATACCGTTATAATTTTACTTCGTTTATATAGATTTTTAAATTTATTACGTACCATTTGTAGCATTTGGTAAACGGCTATTCATCAACCCTAATGATACCAATAGACAAAAAGATAAAGCTGAAAAGTGTCCTGTGCATTGATGATATGGTTCAATCAAGCACTTTCGGATAAAAGAGTAATTACAGGCAATATAATTCTTGTTAAAGTAAAGAACTATTGGTTATGTAAAACCAACAGCTGAGTCTAAGTCAGAAGATGAATTATCAATTGTTAAACAAAAAATACTACAAAAAAATTATTAGAATCATTAAAAACTGTCCCTTCTTATATTCAAGAACCACCTTAAAATCTTACTTTTGAATTTAAACACATTAATTCAATGAAAAGACCACATATCACTCAGTGACCTGGTTTTTTATTAAATATCTTTATAATAAAATTCTAGATTTTTATTGATCAAATATGTTTCACAATCTTCATATTTTTCTTTTCTAATATATGGATCTTCATAATCTTGAAATCTTCTATCTTTCTCGTATTTCATTATAAAGATATATTTATTTGTATCTGGGTCTTGTGATAATCCATAAATTTTATTTATAAATGATTTACCATGAAATGTAACATAATTTCTAAACTATAAAAAAAAATATATTGAATTTCAGAATAATATTTAAAAAATCAGAAAATAAATAAAATTTACCTCATTAAGAAATTCATCAGAAATATTCTGTGAATTATGTAGTTTTTTTAATGCCACAATCATATCCTTACTAATTCTTTCATTATTTCCACCTACATATTTCTCACCATTTATCCAAGTAGCTTTGTATATAGTTGCAAACCCACCTTCACCAATCTTTTCAATATTTGTTAAATCATTATAAGAAATCCATTGAAGATAATAATCATTACCATATCTTGTTGCTTTAAGTTGTGTACTTTTAATCAACTCATCTAATGTTTCATTGCCACTAGTCCATCCTTCAGTCAATCCTTCCTTTGAATATTCATCATTTTTGTCAGTAGAAGTGTCATCATGATGCTTATTTTTATTTAAAGTGTTTCCCATCTTTTAAAATTATTTTAGTTTTTTATTATATTGTCAAAAAAAAAATTTTTTTTCTAGAAACTTTTTTTTTAGCCACAAACATGTATCACAAATATATTAATATAATATAGATACGATATTTTAAAGTCATAAAAGTCATCTGTATTGCGATCTGGGTTATTTATTATGGAGTCACCAAATCTGGAAAACTAAATTAAAATCACTTTATACAACTATACTGCTTGATTAGGGTTTCTATTTGAATAAGGTTTATTTGAATTATTTATTTCTCATTATTTGAGTAACATTTATTTTGTCAAAATCATTATTTTTGTAAGGAAACCCTTTTTCCTTACGTCAAAATACTAATTGTTTTAATTATTATTAAAAATACAAGTTATCTTTATTAATTACGGAAAGCTTATCTTTTTATACAAAAATGCATATTATATATAATATTACAATTAAATAAATAAATTATTATCAATCATAATAATATCTTAGAACTTCCCGGAAAGCTCCAGCACTTAATTTGTAACTCATATACATAAGAAAATAATATAAATAATAATAATATAAGTAATATAAATGATAATATAAGTAATAATAAATAAGTAATATAACAATAATATAAGTAAAGTTGTAACGTTTCGTTTTAATTTAACGCGTTATAGTTACGCGAAATAAATTTTGTATTACTGTGCCACATCATATTCGCAATTAAGAACGAGAAAGAACTGTTACAACAGCTGCCCCCTCATTTAAGCCATCATACTTATAGACACCACTTTGATTGTCAAAGCTTCAAATTACTTCACTGTAGAAATGCTGTCCACTTGATGATGTGCTGTATACATGTGCTGTCAATGTATATTCTATAGTGATCTCATTTTCTTGATAACAAAGCTGAAAAGGGAAGTCTAATTGTTCTGACGAGTTATAATCAGCACCATCTCTTTGGGTTATTTCAAATATCAAGGTATATGGCAAAGAAATTATGTATTCTTCGTAGAATATTTTTCTGCTAGTACAATGATGAAGGTTTGCACAATTATAAGGACAAGGTCAGTCTGGAAGTGTATTGTTGATAAATTCATTCTTTTTTGCAAATAATGCAGAAACTTGTCCCATCAGGTTTTGGTTATTCTTAAAAGAGAGCTATCAAAATCATCAATTCCATTTATTTGAAATAATGGTTTAATAGGTGTTGGTGCTACTTTGACATGTCCAGATTCACATGTCCAGATTTGCAATCCAAAACCGTGTCATAAGTTTTATTGATTCTTTTTCTTCTGAAATAATACTTTCAAACCAATAGGATAATGATCCAAACTCATTATCTTTTTTGCCATTTTTTTTCTAGAACATGGCAATGAACAATTTCACAGGCTTCATTGAAGGTAGATTTTGTATTTTTGGTTCCTAGAGTATTAACAGTATCTCAGATAGTAAAACTTATATATAATTTTTTTAATCCAGAATCATGTGTAATTGTTCTGACATTAGTTGACCACCATGGAATTGCATGAAGGTAGTTCACATACAGTAATTCCAAGCATGATATAATATAACATGAGTTTCGCCAATGTGGATATGATTGGGAAGTTCAATTACTTTTTGTTTTTCTTTTTATGATTGTTAACATCTAAATTTTTATTATCATTAGATGATTTATTTTTTAAAATGGCTTTAGCAGTATCTGGTGGTCTACGATCATTTACACCAGCACCTTTGGATTTCTTTCCTCTGGATGATGTGGTTGTTCCATATAATTCTGCAACTTTTTTCCATGGTTCATCATGACCATACTTCAAGGAATGCCCTTTACTTTTGTTTTCATAATCAACTTCCAAAGCTATTACAAACAAAAGAAGGTTCTCAAGACCTAAATGAAATAAGTTCAAGGTTAATAAATAATCAATTAGTCAATTAAGTTAATCAATTATTTTTTATAAAATAAATACCTGTGATAATTGACTGATTGGCAGTTCCACACATGTAATATCGAGAATGCATAGATTCTTGCACATTTGTTGAATTTGGCAATATTTTGGATAGATCCTCATCCATAGAACTTAGTGCAGGAAAAAGGATTTTTCCTGCATCGGTATAATTCATCATTCCAACCAAGTAACAATGTTGGACCAATTTTTCTCTATTTCTTCAATTTGTTTAAAAAATTCTTTAATATCAAGTTTTAAAGGTTTTAATGCCATTGATTGGAATATTGCCGAGTCTTCATGTTTGACAATTTCATGATTTCGTGCAATCCTTGCTCCAGATTGCTGATAATGTTCCTGGCATCCTTTTAAAAAGTTCAATGCTTCGTTTTCCAAATGCGTTTTATGTGAATCTAAAAGAGCTTGAGAGTATGAGGATAAATAGACCTTTTCCAATTTATGTTCAACAAATGCATCAATGAAATATATTTTTCCTAATGCTTAGGTGAGACTTTATGTCCACATTTATTAATTTAAAAATTCATTATTAAATTATTTATTGCATGTATGTATGTATATAATTATTTTCTCTTTTTCTGAAATATTTGTCTATAGATCCACTTTTATTAATTTTTCTTGATGATGTTTTTTGGATATGTCACCAAAATGTTGTTGTTGCTTTATCAGCAAAACCTAGCTATTGTTTTTTTTGAAAATATAAATATAATATACCGTATCATATTTTAAGTATAACAAGTATTAATATTACCATTACCTGTGATTAAGACAATACCACTGATCATCAGATGGTTCCAAAATAAAGTAATTGTAAACAAGAGAGTCATTTTTAGCAGAGGAAGAGGAAGTATTATTATCATTACCATTTTAATTTTCATTTCCATTATCATTTTTGTTTCCATTACCATTTTCATTTTAATTTTCACCCCTCTCATCATCATCATTATAGTTTCTGTTGCCATTATATTCATCATATTAATATTTATATTTATATTCATATTCATATCCACTATCATATTCACACCATTAACATATAAATTATCCTTATTCTTAATATTCATTTTCATAAAAATAGTATGGTGTTAAAAGTGTTAAAAGTGTCAATAGTAGAGAGATAAATTTGTAATAACTAGTACTAAAAGAAGTAGGCAAGTTTTTTTCTACCACAAATAGAAAAGTGATTATCAATTGAAATTATCGAGCTACAAAACAAGCCAAGCTAACTCAGCTTGAAATGAGCCAAGCAAGTTTGGCTTGAAATAAAGACAAATGCTGTAAATAGCTGTTGGTAACTATCATTTTTTGTAAATAGATATGGTAGTTATCATTGCTGCAAATAACCAATTAAAGCAGGTGTCTTTAGCTTGAACCAAGCCAACACATGAGCCGAGCAAGCTATTTATAAGCTTGGCTCTCAAGCCAGTAATTTTTTGGGTGAGCCAAGAGCTAGCTTGGCTCATGTGGAGCTTATTAAGGGAAATTTACACTTACAGATAACATGACTTTTTACAAATGACGCGTCATCCGATGACGTTTTCAGATATAAAAGGAATTGATCGATAATGACCGGAAGGTTAGTCCGTTCGTATTAACTCTACTATTATTATTACTATCTCGAGATTATTTGTGCGCACAAAATTTAGCCAATAAAATTGCTGTAGTAGTGTATTTTTAAGAGGGTATTTTTTTTCCCACAGAATGAATAAATTTTTTTTCAAATTGAACATAATAAAAAAAATGTCGGTAACTAATAATCCTCAATGGCCTTGCGAAAGATGTACCTTTATTAACCGAGTGAGTTTACTTTCATTATTTTCTAGTTTTATTAATATCCATAATATAATAACAAGAATACCTATAATTTTTTTGAAGGGAATTGATTTAACCTGTTCAATGTGCTTTCTTACCAGAACAAATGCTAAAGATTTACCAGTTCAGGTTAACTATCTAGAA